AAGACAAACATTAATAAATCTAAGGTGTAGACTGAAAAACATTAAATAAAAATACACTAGTAGTATAAAACAATTCTTATGAGGGTCCTTTAGAGACAGAAGGATGATTTAAGATGGGGAAAACTATTCCAGATTAGAGAAAACATTTTAACTAATTGATTCATGGGGAGGAGAAATTATCTAACTTACTATGAGTATATTTGAACAACCTAGTAAACAAAAAATATATTATGTATGAATGTTATAGTATAATGTTATATGATAAATAAGATTGACATATCTAATAAGTATTAGACAAATGATTATTTTATTATTAACCTTGTGGTGTCCACTAAAAACAGGGATAACAGTAACATTTGTGCCTTTTTTCATCTGTAAAATAAGAGAGTTTGCAGGCCATCATGACATAGACCATCATGATTTGACCTTGCATTATTAGATTGGATCATGTGCGCATAAATATTCTTCCATGGTACATTTTTATCTGTGTAAATTCTAAACATTTTTGATTATTTCAGTGGGACAGATAAGATGCAGGATGTCCAGACACATCCTGGCGCTAGTTTAAGACTGATAACTGTTCCATCTTCCCATCACAAAAGCTGCTTACTTGTGTTTCTGATTTTATGTTTTTTCTTCAATTTTAATTGTGTTTTTTGTTATTGAAGTGTAATGATCAGTGCTGTGAAATTTAAATAACCTTCCTTTGGATGTGAGTTCAGGTGGTTCACCTGAAGTACAATGCTGAGGTGTTTCTTATTTTTATTAAATAAAATTGAAGGGTCCGTTGGGGGTGATGACAGCTCTCATCTGGACTCATGAGGAGAAGAGTAGACAATAACATTTAAACATTTAGATTATTCATTAATATTTACATAAGTAAATAACGTATACTATTCAGCTTAAGCAACAATGATTCATGCGAGGGTTGGTAATGGATTTGTGTAAGTCTGGGTTTTTAATTTCAGGTAATAAAACTATTAATCATGTTATTCCCATGGACAAAACACATGCATGTTAGGCTTTAAGGTATCAGAGTGTAATGGATGACTGAATATAAGTAAATATCAATAATCAGGAATGACACAATTCATGATTGTAAAGACTGTTGATTTTTCTATAATGAGATGAGCTAAATTTTAGAGGTTGTTTTGGATGATAAATTTGGCTGGAATATTGTATATAATATAAGGAGCCAAAACATTGCTAGATATTTGACTTCTAAATCACTTAAAATGTTCAGTGACCGAGTTACAGGCAGATTAAATCAAATCTATAGATGTGTTTTTATCTCAGGTAAGATTTTTACAAGTGCTAACATAGTTGGAATACACTATTTATTTATTTATTTTTCTTTAACAGATACTAACGGAAAATATATAATAATTAATTTTAACAACTACTAACATGATTTAAGACAGCATTTTTATAGTGATGTGGCATAATACTTATCAATGACTTGTGAAATTTGGTGCATGGAGAAAAGAGCAAAACAATAAGTGTTGCTGATAAAATGCTAAATGTGATGATTCAATTCAGAAAAACTTGACAGGCATAGGATGATGGGTAGAAGGATGGACTCTGGCTGGTTGCCAGCAGGGTATTGTGCTGTTTGTGTCTCTTATCACCTGTTCAGGTTATCTAAGCTAAAGAAGCTCCAGGAAAGGTGAACACAGTGGTCACCTGTATGAGTTTGATCAACAGTCCCAGAGAAGCATCAGGTGAGTATGAACCTGCAATATGAACTTACCCATAATGAATGATAATTTTCAATAACTCATAATACGACTATAGACATTTATATAGACAAGTGATGGAGTTTTGTGATATTGTGAGAGAAGGATGTTTGTTCTTTTTTCCCTGATAATGCAGCTTCAAACGAGTCGCTGATAGAGGAGTTACGAGTCCAATGACAGGGGTTCGAATAATGGATGCTGGACAGATGTCTGAGGAAATGCCCCTGATGAGGAGGAATGGAGTGGCGTGCCAGGGGGAAATAGTCACCGGTTCTACTCCCTGGGGTGAGAACATCATGCATCAAATGAGGGTGTTATCATTCATCATGAATTAAGGTTCTTTTAGATTCATACTGATCTGGCTGCAGGCCCGGAGTGGCCAACCGGGAGGGTCTGGAGAATTCCCGGTGGGCCGGTCTGTGCTCACAAATTTTTATTTTTTAGAACATTTTATTAACAACATATAAACACAGAACACGCTGCCGCTGCTCCTGGGCCGCCCTGCCTCCTCTGCAGGGTTGCACCTCTAGTTTTTTTTTTTCCCACAAGTCGGCTCCGCTACGTGAACTGTCAATGAATCCAGTAGGCGTGTCAGCAAATGACCAATCGGTAACCTCAATTTATCCCAAAGGTAAACGCCCCTTACCTGAGGCTGAAGCCTGGACGCTTTACAGTCAGAGGGGTTTGTGAAAAATCACCAGAACAAAATGGTTAAACTGTGTCAGTGGCGAACAGGCAACCCAGACATGTGTTACCCTGAGAGTTTAGAGCGTGGGATACAGTTTATTCATTTTCAAAAATTAAACGGAGTTTGGAAGCATGTAAAAAGCTGGGGACCGACCCCATCAGCTGATCACAAGTTATAAACAGGAAGTAGCAACCACGTGTTCAACGAAAGTAACTGCAGGTAAATCCTCCATTTTCTGTCATAATTACATTGTATGCTTAATGGTTAAATTAAAGATGAATGCTTAATTCAGGTTATGTTTATTTGTTGTATGCAGGTTAACACAAGATTAACAGTACAATATTCAGGATGAGAAGAACTGATTAGACTCACTAAAACAAATAACAAACAAGAACTACGAAAGCATTCAATAAGGGTACAACACAAAGCACCAAAAAGTGAAAAAGTAAATACAATATTTACAAGGTCCTAAGGAAAAAATAGTAAACAACATGGTAGAATATAATGATGCAAGTAGGATGAATGTGTATGAATAAATATTTCATGGTAATAATATAAGCTTAAATTAGCATGATGTATACTGCACATAACTAACAAACTACACAGGTTGTGTGACAGATTATTGCACAGGTAGTGAGTAACATTGAGATGAATTATGATGGTAAGGTAGATACATGATAAAGCCACATAATGCATTAGCAATAAAATATTAGTTATCACAAGCTAATATTAGTCATATTAGTTGTCACAGATGTGGCTTGGTGCAAAGTTATTGCCTGTTGTTCAGTGTTATTTATTGAGAGTTCAGTAATCTGACAGCTTGTGGATAATAACTGTTTTTAAGTCTTTACATGCATGATGGCAGACTCCTGTATAGTCTACCTGAGAGTAGTTGATGGAAGAATCCTTGTGCTGGGTGGGTGTGGTCCTTAATGATGCTGCGTGCTTTACTCAGACATTGCCAGGGGGAGACAAGGTGTACCTTTAAGACCAATTGTTAACATGATTAACTCAGTTACTTACAATGTTTCCAAATATCTGGTGTCTGTACTCATCCCTCTAGTTGGCAGCTCAGAACACCACATACAGAACACCATGGCGTTTGTGGATCAGGTGAGGGATGTCATCATGGAGACTGATGAAACAATGGTCTCTTTTGATGTCACATCACTCTTTACATGCATTTCTGTTGATGATGCAGTAGAGGTGGTCAGTTTAAAATTAAAATCAGACACCACTCTGAGCAGCAGGACCACGCTTTCCACAGAACAACTGTGTCAACTCTTGAAACTGTGCCTGCAGTCAACCTACTTCACATATGGGGAGCAATATTATAGGCAGAAACATGGGTGTGCTATGGGGTCTCCAGTTTCTCCTAT